ATGTGGTGGGACTGCAAGATCATCAGAAAGTTTTGGAGGGAGGTACACCACAAAATAAAAGAAATACTACAAATCAACCTGGAATTTAAACCGGAACACTTTCTGCTGGGAATGAACAACCCAACCATGGACAAAAATGACGAAAAAATTATGTTCTACCTCACCACGGCAGCGCGAATAAGTGTGGCCCGCTTATGGAAGAACAAAGAAACAGCAGATTTCAGTCAATGGATGAGTAAATCCATGGATATTATGAACATGGACTTACTAACTCAGAAATTAAGGAAGAATGAACAGACAAGAGAAAACACTGACTGGAATAAATTCATAACCTTCTTAAAGAAGTACAACAAGAAATGAGAACAGAACACAAAACCCAGAGAACAGTAATTAAACAAAAGAGTACCCGACTAACATAGACCTAAGATAACCACAAAAATATAAGGAATGGCACGCTTAAATACCCTGGAAGTCAAGAGATGTACATAGCTGTTATATATGTGGGCCAGTTTGTCAGTTTCTTATGTGTCTTTATGTTTGTATGTCTAGGATGTACCACAATAGAGTAGGGGGGGGGCGGGAGGGGGAAGGGATAAGAAACAACCAAACGACCTAAAACATCTGCCCCCTATATAATGCAAAATACAAAAATATAAGATTATAGAAGAAAGGAAACAACAGGGTTAAGTGACAGAGGGGAGCAAGAGTGAAAGGTCTGCAAAACTCCAGTTTGTGCAATAAGAGGACTTTTTATATATGTTATATTGTCTCAATGTATGTGTTTGTATGTCACTGTGTGGAAGCAGTTCTGCTCCATTGTTTTAAACTAAAAACTAATAAAAATTATTAAAAAAAAAAACCTCAGGCAAATTAGTCTTATCTGACTAACATGTTGGCCTCTGCAAAGATTCACCAGCATACTGGGCAAAAAATGAGTTCATATTTACATTCTCAGAGTCCAATAAACTTTTCTTTCCAATGTATAGTAGGGTAAATTCTAGCTCCATTAACTATGTCTACAATGATTAAACACCACTGAGAAGTACCTTACAGACACTTTCATATTTAAACATCTCCTATATCACTGTTCAGGACGTTAGTGTGCACAACCTGAATTTACTAAAGAAATTGTAATTCAGAGAAGTAATACTGTATAGTACAATTTCATTTATCCAAGGTCCACTTATTGAAGAAGAAATTGGAAGTATTCAGAATAAAGACACTTCTTATCCAATATACACACACATCTGTAGATATGTGTTTTAAATTCCATTAGTGTCCTAAAATGTTAATTGTACAAATAGTATTTAAAAGCAGTTTTGTCTTGCTTTCAGCGATGTTTAGGGGTGGGAGGCAGAGAGAAATCTTTTTCCAGATGATAAACTGCTGGATATCAGATGAAGTTATAAACCTTGGCACTTGACTAGCTCTTGTGTCCTAGAGTGCTGGGGATTCATCTCAGGATATGCCGGTTAATTAGAATGAAAGATCGCAAAACTAATTCAGTTCCAGTGTGTGCTAGCATGTGTCATAGCTCCAGATGTTTTCTGTCAAGCTGGGTACATTGTTTGAATTGTAACAGGGAAATTAGTTCAGGCTGCATGTGGAGTTGAGAGCATGAAACTGGGTCAGCAACCAGCGATAAAGCACTCACAGGAAGGGACACTTTACATTTTAAGTGAAAAACTGGGGATCAAGGATGACTGAAATATACATTTTCTGCCAACTTCGCATAAAAGAGGATGAATGTCTGACTTGTGAACCACTTTGGTAGCTCCGTGTTGCTTGAGAATTTCTTTATATACATTGAGGTTAAAGGAGGCTAGATCTATTGGTTGAGATACTATACCTTCCAGTGGGATTCTTTAATGGCAGTGTGATTTATTTCATTTCATTTGTCATTCGGGATGCATGCAGATTAAGTATTCAAGCCCACATCCTTGCAATAGAAGACAGGCTTTCTAAAAAGCCTCAGGAATCAATCAATAGGGAAGGCACAAGTTTTTTCATGGCAATATTCTCAGTGAAATATGAGAAAATCATCAGGAATGATTAGGAATTCTGAAACCCTCTATTTTTGCATTTCATTATTCAGGATCATTACTAAACTGACAATTATGAAATAAGTTTATTTATTTATTGTATCAGGAGTGAACCAAACAGTTGTGTTATATTTAAAAAAAACAAAAACAAAAACACAACGTTTGCAAACTTGGCATTTTATTAACTGTACTTTGACCAGAAGCTGGCTACTTGGAGTGCCTCTGGTGTTACTATAAGAAGGTCCTCAATGTGCATGTGGCAGGGCTCAGGTTGCATTGTAATAGGTGGTCTGTGGTTTACTCTTCTCCACATTTGCATGTCGTGGACTCCACTTTGTGGCCCCATTTCTTAAGGTTGGCTTTGCATCTCGTGGTGTCAGAGTGCAGTCTGTTCAGTGCCTTCCAAGTCGCCCAGCTTTCTGTGTGCCCAGGAGGGAGTCTCTCATTAGGTATCAACCATTTATTGAGGTTCTGGGTTTTAGCTAAATAAAATAAACGTAAAGATGTATATCCCTTCCCTTCATGACTTTTCTTTTATTAGCTTGCCTGCCTATGGTTTGGGAGACAGTGACTGATACCATATGAGTTATTTGGGAATTCGGAACTGTTATGAATAGTTAGGACACTATATGGGAATTAAATGTCCATTCCTTATTCACACAGTCATTTCAACTGCCCCTCAAGGCTTTCAGAATCAACATCTCAACATCCTAAGGGCCATAGTGTTTTTGGGATTTCACCCTCAGATAGCTCCTTTAGAGTTCATAATAAACCCCAGTATTGATTCACTATCCCAATGTCATAGATGACATTAGGTGCCATTGTTAGATAGTGAATGAAGAAGAAATGCATGGTTGGAGTTAAAACTCTCTGCTCAATCATGAAAAGTGTTTTCCCCCCTCAAAATTCTTTAAAGTCTTGGAGATGCCAGGGCACCCCACCTGCAGCGCATACTTTTCACAATTCTGCTGTAACTCAAAGGATGGTGCCATTACTAAAACTACATTCTCCCTCAAGATCAGGCCACCATGATAAAGCTAAAAAGTTACCAGTACCGCCAGCAGCATGTTGATCAAGTATCTCTTATGGCTACAAGGTCTGGAAGGCACACAATGTTGCGTTGCGTTGCATTAAGTGGTCTGTTCCTCCTCCAATGAACAAGTTCCCTTTGGAATTGGAGGAACATAAAAGATGCTTTGTTAGCTGTGCCATTATTTTTATAACATATCTCCTTCTGTATGTATAGAACATCTAGGCCTGTGCATCTTTCAGTTGTGTTTTTGCAAAGAGTATCAACATATCTGTAGCAGTGAGTGGTATCTGTAGGAACCTCAAAGTCCCGTGCCTTCCGCTTGCAACTTTTCTTGAGACAGAAAATCCACAGGAAATCTCTTCACTGCTTCAAGAGTACAGCAAGAACAGCACGTTCCACCTCGACACTTGAAACAGTGCTAGGAAATTAATTAAAGTTATGGCCATGTAGCTCTAAAGTAGTCAATGTCAACAGATTTTTTAAAAGCCTTCTAGGTAAAAACATCTGTTGCTGTGGAGAATAAACTGGACTGTTGAGCAACCAAATCCATATTTCGTCTACAACTGAGTTCTAGGATTTAAGATGATTTATGACCTTATCTTCTTGGTCTTGAAGGAGATATGCCAACAGAAGAATTTAAGATAAGACATTGACTTTATTGACTTAAGCAGAAAATGCTGATTTAAATTTGGAAGCTAGAACTAAATTTCCAAAACTGATACTTTAGTTCTGACTTACACATAGAATTTCTTGTTTAGAGTATTTCCAAACATTGGCATGTGTTAGAAGATATTAGGTGAATGTGTACAATAGTTCCTTTCTAGATTCTATGCCGTTGAGACATATGCTGAAATTACTTTCCAACTGGATTACTTTAATGTGTTCCATATGGAACTGTTTCTGAGGTGCTCAGAAACGTAAACTTGGTGCAACGAAGCCAGTTGCAACAAAGGTCATACTATTTTCTTTTTCAACAACTCCAGTGGCTGCTGATTCATATCTGGACACAATTAAAAGTTCTGGTTATTACTTATTGAAGCCTTATATTGTTTAGATACAATGCATATGACAAAACATATCTCTGCATATCAGCCTGTCTGTATTTTGAGATGTTCTGAGGTGGTCCTTTCTGTCTATCCTACTACCTTCACAGCTGTGACTGGCAGGAACAGGGTCTTCTCAGTGGTTGCTCCAGGCTATGGAAATCCCTTTCTAGAGAGGCTAGAATGGTGGCCTCCTTGTATCTTTCCATAGGCAGGTAAAGACTGTTCTTTTGAAGATGGGTTTCTTATAAAGGGCTATCAGTGATAGGTTGCCTTATCAATGCTTGCTGATTTACTATTTTTTAATGGGCATGCTATTATTATTATGTTTCTTTATATCCCGTTTAATCTTTCAAAGCAGCTTACAATTAAAAGTATGACCACATAATTTAAAATATACAATATGCAAACATTAAAACAGAATTAAACATATCACTATTAACATTCACAATTAAATCCATTAAAGCATATTCAAAGCTAAAAATCATAGCAACCCCTGACTTGATTTTGATTTCTTTAAATTCTACTGAAGGTTAATCATATTCTTTTAATTGACTTTTATTTGTTCATTGTCTTGGGAGCCCTTGTGGGCTGGGAAGTAATACAGAAGTAAAATCTATCAATCAAAATATTTTCATTTTGCATGATATGTATTTCAAGCCACCTGGATTGCCAGAACTTAGAATATGGCAATGGATTTTTTTAAAAATCACTTCACTAGTCTTTACTAATAGTTATGATTGCATTCCATAGCACTTAAGTGTTGCTTTAGCAAGTTGTCCTAGGATCATTTGTAAACTTTTCAAGATTGGGATAAAAAACTCAGACTGATGTGCTAAATAAGTGACGTTCTTTCCTTTTCAAAACTCCCCTTCAGTTGGTTTCAACAGTACAGCTATTTTGCAGCAATAGAAGCTCATTCAGGAACTTGAGACTAGCTCACAACTACAGACCTCTGCTGATTTAAAAGAAAAGAGAAAAGGTAATTTCTGGAGTGAAACCGAAAACCAGTCTCCAATAGTAAGAGTTGCTTTGATATCAGTCATTATGCAAAAAGCAAACTTTGTTATTAAAAATAATAACAAAAGAACTACATTTTAAAGAAAGTATTCTTTTACAATTAATAATGTGCTAGGGATCTCTCTCTCTCTCTCTCTCTCGCTCTCTCTCTCTCTCTATATATATATATATATAATATATAGAAGTCAAATGTGCAGGTTGCACTGTTCTTACTAGATTTTCATATTTTTTCATTCATACAGGAAATACTTCAGAAGGAAATATAATTCCTTTCAGGAAAGATGAAGTTAATCGCTGTAGGCATCGTTGCTTTCTGCATGCTGGTGTACAAACAAACAGGTACCCATTGTATTAAATAAATATATTTGTTTTGATTAAATTGTTTCCCTTCCTGTAAATTTTTCTAATCTGTCCATTTAAATATATTCTAGCTATTACAAACAGTTTAATATTATAAATATTTTAATAGAAATTATGGTGATTAATGTGTGAGAGAAGACAGAGAGAAAACTATTACTGTACTAGGGTTCTTTAGCATTTAGGAGTCTGCGATAAGAGAGCAGTCATTTGTAAATGGCACAATTTTTTATCCGCATAAGCAAAACATTGGTGATTAATCTCTTGCTTATTTCCAGATGCCAGCCCAATCCATGATGAAGAAGGTAAACAAATTTCTGTTGGTTTTATGCTCCCTCTTCCAATCACTAATGCTCCCTCCTCCAACTCCTAACTTCTACTCGGATATCTAATAATGGGAACACTTGAAAATGTAAAAGTTAAAGGAGACATTTCTACTGCTTTCAAACCATGCTGCCCCATACACTGAGGTTTTCTTAGGGCATTAATTTTGATCAGTCAGCACTAGGATAGCAACTGTTAACCAGAAGATATTCTGAAATTGTGGGATGACCAACTGGAAGAGATTTGATAGCTAGATATGCTGTCTGCATTTAAAACAGCATTTTTTTTGTCGTGTCGGGAGTGATTGCAAGTCGCTCCTGGTATGAGAGAATTGGCCGTCTGCAAGGACGTTGCCCTCTTTCAGCTGGTCTATTCAGATGAGTTTTTAAATTATAATTGGTTGTGTTTAATTTGTATTCTTTTAAAACTGGTATGCCATTTAACTGACTGTGTATTTAATTATGTTTAAAATGGCATAGAATTGTTGCCTTTGAAGGCCACCCTGAGTCTCCTTTGGGGCTGAGAAGGGCGGGATATAAACGTGGTAAATAAATGTACATTGTAAGCTATCCCTCAGATTGTTGGGGGGCTGAACTATAGTTTGTTAATGTTGTTTGGCTTCAACTCATTTCATACTTAGGGAAAGCAAAAGACAACCCTATCAGAGTTTTCTTGTCAAGTTTTATACAAAGGGAATTTGCCTGTATCTTCATCTGAGACTGAGAGAGTGTGACTTGGCTAAAGTCATCCATTTATTTATTTATTTAATGCATTTGTTGACCGCCGCTCTCAGCCCTAGGGCGACTCGCGGCGGTGTACAACATCCAGTGGGTTCAGAGCCACAGCCTGAAGTTCAAAACACTATGCCACTTGTTATAAATTCCTTCTCTCTCTCTTTTCTACCTATCTTTCTTTCTCCCTTTCCTCTCTTCATTCCCTGTTTCCTACCTACCTTTCTTTCTTCTTTTTCTCCTTCCCCCTTCTCTCTCTCTTTTCTACTCCTATTCTTTCTTACTTGTTTTCTTCCTCCCTTATTCCCTCCCTCTGCTTTGAAGGAAGCAAGAATGGGGCAGAAAGGATTCCCTCCATTTTGGAAGAAAATAGAGAGAGGAAAGCAAAGGAGATTTAAGAAGCAAAAAGAGGGTGGAGAGAATCTCTGTTTTGGAGAGAGATAGAGAAAAGGAATAGAAAGAGTTAAAGAGCAAGAAGAGGGTGGTGGTAGCAGTAGGGAGTGAATGGCGTCAGTAGTAGTAGTCTAAAGTTTAGAGCACAGCTGGATCTAGTCTACAAGCCTTAGTTTTGGGATTCCCGCCTTAGAAGATATCTTTGATATTGAAGTCACAATTCTGTTATTACATGTTAAGTCAGGCAGCAACCCGAACTGAGAATTTACAATTATGACACTTAATTTTATAATGGCATATTTTAGGGTGATTGTGCTAAATCGGAGGGTAAAAAATCTGTGGTCTTCCATATGTTGGTCCATCTCCCATCTGTCCTGCCCAGCAAAGTACAGAGAGGATGTTAAAGTTCCTTAGCTCAGCAACTTCTCAAGCGTCATATAACCTATTTCCTAGTCTAAACAATGCCAAATCCATTCACTATAAAATAAAACTTTTTTATTTCTTGAATGTGTTTTAGAACTGTTTAGGGAAACAAGGGTTTAGTACAGGTATAAGGAAATAAAACTTTGTGGATGATTCAATCACTAAAAAAATATTTTAATAACTACAGTAATCTCTTATTTTAGATCCCTACAGACAACCTCCAGGCATGCCTTATTGGCCTTTCATGAGTAATGATTTCTGGGGATATGTGGAATACTTCCGGGACCTGGGGGCATACAACAGAATCAATGAGATGGCCAGGACCTTCTTTGCTCAACATCCTCTTGGAAATATTCTTGGATATGATGTCCCATATCATGAGCACTAGTTCACTTGGCAACCCTTCATTTGACCATTTCAATACAGGCAGACCCCAAGTTACAAACAAGATAGGTTCTGTAGGCTTGTTTTTAAGTTGAATTTGTATGTAAGTCAAAACATTTACATTTTTAAAGAGTAACTCCAGCCAAAAATATGTATTTTAAAGCATTGGATAGCATAGGGAAGAATTAACACCTCTGTGGTGTTTATTTTGCTATCTGTGCCCCTGTTCAGCAGATTTCAGCTCACTTTCTGTCCCTGTGTTAACTGGATTTTGAAAAATATGTTGTGGAATCAAAGATTAGTGATAAAGCATCAGTGGAGACACTTTTTCCCCGTAACTCTTCCAGGAATGAATCTCCCTTCCTAGGGATAGATTTCTCTCACTTCCTCTTGTCTCACCCCTGTTCTTAGCTATGAATCATTTGTAAGTTGGGTGTTTGTAACTCGGGAACTGCCTGCAATCAGAATTGCTAGACTAAATATGATATTCTAATACTTTTTTTAAAAAATCTATAAAATATGTTAAACCAATTTTAAAAATGCAAATGGTGCAAGTGTAAAGTATTTTCCAGCAGACAATATATATTTAGTATATATTAGCTTGCAAATGCATAAAGATTTTTTTGCTTTTGTGGCTTTTAGGAACTCATATACATTTGTATTTTTAAAAAATAATTATTATTACAATCATGCTTTATGAATGTGTGTTTTTTTCTAAACTGTTTAAGCCAACTGTTTAATAAAAACATTGGAAGTGGAAGGTACAGATTGTAGAATCATTTTTTCATTCACAGCATTTTCCCTCTGCCTCTGCAGTGCACTTGTTCCATGGAATACTAAAAATAATAACAACCAAGCTATATATCTGTTTCTCAATAGATAATGAAAACAAAACAACGAGAATTAAAGGAAGTGGTTCTACAAAACTCCCTCCTTAGCGATGTCAGGACAGCCCCCTCCTTCTTAGTGTTTAGAAAGAGAGTCAAAACCTGGCTCTGAGAGCAAGCATTTGAAAAATACAGTAGTGCAGGAATGTTAGTATGAAATATGTGCAATTTGACTATGGATTGGGCTTTAGATTACGACTCTGGATGACGTGATTCACTGAAATGTATTTTTATTATGCTTTATTATGTTTTAATGTTTAACTTATGTTTTAACTGATCTGGTATGTTTTAAGGCACCATGGAGGTGTGATTATAAGCCGCCTTGTGCCCCCCTCAGTGTAGAGAAAGGCGGGATATAAATAAAGTAAAAAAAAAATAAAAGAAAAAACTGTATTCATAGAACCTCATGCAGGAATCCCTTGTATTAGTACAAGTCCCTTAAGGTAAAGGCAGTAGTTACTCATAGTTTCATATCCATAGCTCATTTACCCACACTCCAAAGAAAATTTCTCCCCAAAAGTATTTGTTGACCTCTCTTGGTCCTAATATAATTCTGTGGTATGCTTCCAGCTCAAGTTTAGTCAAAATATAGTTTCAGGTATCCACAGACACCTGATATTGCTTGATGGACAAGAACAGCTCTCATCCATAAAGATCCTTAGCTGTCATCATTGTCATCTTCTTCACCATGCAATGTATGCAGAATATATTTCTGTCATCACCACTGATTAACTGCTGACATGGACAGCTGAAATAATATGGAATAGGGCCAATGCTTTTGCATTGGTTATTCAGGTGGGATGTAACCAGAGTACCCAATTGACTTAAAGGGATGACTGGTGAGTTCTGGACAACCCTGACCATGTTGACCCAGTCAGAAGTAAATTTTACTTTTTTTAAATGAAGAGATCTGTAGCAATGTAAGGTCTAACACGGTGGTTGTAATATGAGCTTTTGTGGTCCATGGCATGTCCATAATGTCTCAGCTATAAATCGTACACATGGTTCTGGAAGGCATTGTAAATACTGAGTTGTTGTAGGTTTTTTCGGGCTATATGGCCATGGTCTAGGAGAGAATGCCTCTAGACCATGGCCATATAGCCTGAAAAAACCTACAACAACCCAGTGATTCCGGCCATGAAAGCCTTCGACAATACATTGTAAATACTGATCAACCCTAATGGTGCAGTGCTTTGATCAAGTCGGTCAGAGCCAAACCAGTGACAGTTAAGGTAAAGGTTTCCCCTTGACATTAAGTCCAGTTGTGTCCAACTCTGAGGGTAGGTGCTCGTCTCCATTTCTAAGCCAAAGAGCTGGCATTATCCATAGACACCTCCAAGGTCATGCAGCTGGCATGACTGCATGGAGTGCCCTTACCTTCCTGCCAAGGCGGTACCTATTATCTATTCACATTTGCATGTTTTTGAACTGCTAGGTTAACAGAAGCTGGGGCTAACAGCGGGAGCTCACTCTGCTCCCCAGATTCAAACCGTCAACCTTTCAGTCAGCAAGTTCAGCAACACAGTGATTTAACCTGCTGCGCCACCAAGGGCTCCCATCTTTGGACAGCATAGGGGAGGGTGAACACTGCTGTGGAATTTATTTTCTTGTTCAAAAGACTTCTCTGCATTTTCTGTCCCTGGAATAATTGGATTTTGAAAAAAATGTCTTGTTATGGAAACAAGGAATCCCCGGTGGCACAGTGGGTTAAAGCGCTGAGCTGCTGAGCTTGTTGACTGAAAGGTCGCAGGTTCGATTCCGGGGAGCGGCGTGAGCTTCTGCCAACCTAGCTTCTGCCAACCTAGCAGTTCGAAAACATACAAATGTGAGTAGATCAATAGGTACCGCTCCGACAGGAAGGTTACAGCGTTCCATGCAGTCATGCCAGCCAGTTGACCTTGGAGATGTCTCCAGACAACGCCGTCTCTTCGGCTTAAAAATGGAGATGAGCAGCACCAATCCCCAGAGTCGGACACGACTGGACTCAATGTCAGGGGAAACCTTTACCTTTACCTATGGAAACAAGGATTGGTGAGAAAGTTTCAGTGGAGACTCCTTCCAAGGAATATCTCTCACTTCCTGTTGTCTCACCCCCGTTCTTAACTATGAGTCGGATATAAGTTGGATGTTTGCAACTCGGGGACTGCCTGTATACTGTTAACATGGATCTATCAGAAAAAAGCATATGGGCACTAGGCTACACAATGAAGTCTACTGAAAGCAGGCATGGGCCAACTTGAGCCCTCCAGGTGTTTTGGACTTCAACTCCCACAATTCCTAACAGCCTACCGGCTGTTAGGAATTGTGGGAGTTGGAGTCCAAAACACCTGGAGGGCCCAAGTTGGCCCATGCCTGGTACAGCTCCATTTCGCCCCTTTCCCTTTTGAGTCCCTCTCTTGGATGAATTGAGAAGAGCGCTGGCATAGAGACGCTGAAGTCCTCCGGGCGGCTAGAGCAACCGGAAGTTGCTGTTCAGACTCCGGCCGGAAGTTGGCAGGCAGTAGGATTGTTGAAGGGAGCCATGAAGCCGGCGGTGGACGAGATGTTCCCGGAAGGCGCGGGGCCTTATGTCGACCTGGATGAGGTGAAGAAAGAAGGGGGCGGTTTGGGGAAAGGGAGGGAGGACGCTCTTCGGGTGGAAGCCTCTTTAGGGGCTCTTTTTCCTGTTAATGGCTCCCGATGGAGAAGAGCGGCCTTTATTTCCCTTCTGGCCTGGGGCTGGCTTTCCTTTTGGCACATTCAACACCCTCTCCTTCGTCTTTCCTTCCTTCCTTCCAGGCCCCTTCCACTCAGCTGAATAAAATCCCACATTAACTGCTTTGAACTGGGATATATGGTAATGTGGACTCGGATAACCCAGTTCAAAGCAGATACTGTGGGATTTTCTGCCTCGATATTCTGGGTTATATGGCTGTGTGGAAGGGCCCTCAAATTACCCAGTTCAAAGCAGAAAATGTGGGATTTTCTGCCTTTTATTTATTTATTTATTTATCGTGTCAGGAGCAACCAGACAGTTGTATTACATTTTTAACAAACAAACAAACAAAACACAAAGTTTGCAAGCTTGGTAGTTGATTAAATGTCCTTTGACCAGTAGCTGGCCACTTGGAGTGCCTCTGGTGTTGCCGCAAGAAGGTCCTCCATTGTGCATGTGGCAGGGCTCAGTAGGTCGTCAGTGGTTTGTTCTTCTCCACACTCGCATGTCGTGAATTCCACTTTGTAGCCCTCTTTCTCTAGATGTGAAGATTACTACAGATGCAGACTGCAACCAGGAAATTATTATTATTATTATTATTATACTACATTTATTGTTGTTGTTGTTATTATTATTATTATTATTCTACATTTCGCTAAGGAATTCTGGGCCTGAGGAGGAGGAGGTCCCAGTGGTCATGGGCACTCTTTTATGTATGTATTTATCATGTCAGGAGCGAACCAAACAGTTGTATTGCATTAATAAAAAAGCACCCCACAAAGTTTGCAAACTTGGCATTCTATTAAATGTCCTTTGACCAGTAGGTGGACTCTTGGAGCGCCTCTGGTGTTGCTATAAGAAGTCCTCTATTGTGAATGTGGCAGGGCTCAGGTTGCATTGCAGCAGGTGGTCTGTGGTTTGCTCTTCTCCACACTCGCATGTCATGGATTCCACTTTGTGGCCCCATTTCTTAAGGTTGGCTCTGCATCTCGTGGTGCCAGAGCGCAGTCAGTGCCTTCCAAGTTGCCCAGTTTTCTGTGTGCCCAGGGGGGAGTCGCTCATTTGGTATCAGCCATTGATTGAGGTTCTGGGTTTGAGCCTGCCACTTTTGGACTCTCGCTTGCTGGGGTGTTCCAGTGAGTATCCCTGTAGATCTTAGAAAACAATTTCTTGAATTAAGTCGTTGGCATGCTGGCTGATACCCAAACAAGCCTTGATATTCTGCCTTGATATTCTGGAAAAGGCCCTGACATGTTAATTACTGCCCAGAAACCCTTTGGGACTGCAGGCCTTTGGGACTTCTCTCTTGTTCCCCAACCCCTTTTATGGTTTATTTAGTCGCCTTTCTAGGCTCCTTCCACACAGTCCTATATCCCAGAATATTAAGGCAGAAAATCCCACAATATCTGTTTTGAACTGGGGGCCCTTCCACATAGCTGAATAAAAACCCACATTTTTCTGCCTTGGTTGTTGTTGTTCATTCGTTCAGTCGTCTCCGACTCTTCGTGACCTCATGGACCAGCCCACGCCAGAGCTCCCTGTCGGCCGTCACCACCCCCAGCTCCTTCAAGCTCAGTCCAGTCACTTCAAGGATGCCATCCATCCATCTTGCCCTTGGTCGGCCCCTCTTCCTTTTGCCTTCCACTTTCCCCAGCATAATTGTCTTCTCTAGGCTTTCTGTCTCCTCATGATGTGGCCAAAGTACTTCAACTTTGTCTTCTAATATCCTTCACTCCAATGAGCAGTCGGCTTTATTTCCTGAAGTATGGACTGGTTGGATCTTCTCGCTGTCCAAGGCACTCTCAGAACTTTCCTCCAACACCACAGTTCAAAAGCATCGATCTTCCTTCGCTCAGCCTTCCCTAAGGTCCAGCTCTCACATCCGTAGGTTACTACATGGAATACCATGGCTTTGACTAGGCGGATCTTTGTTGCCAGTCTGATGTCTCTACTCTTTACTATTTTATCGAGACTGGACATTGCTCTCCTCCCAAGAAGTAAGCGTTGGTATTCTGGGTTATATGGCTGTTTGGAATGGCCCTGGGTTATCTGAGTCCACACTGCCATATATTCCAGTTCAAAGCATGTGGAATTTTATTCAGCTATGTGGAAGGAGCCAGAGCTAACTAATGCTATATCAGTAAACTCTATTGTGACTTCATATTAATACTGAAATACAGCAGTTAAAAAGCAAATAAAGACAAAAATTCTGCAAGATAATTTTACTGTATTATAAAAACAGCTTAGAGAATGCAGTATTATTTTTTCAAAATTTTGCCTGTGGCTTTAGAGTTGTGGTTAACTGAGGCCCCTTCCACACAGCTGAATAAAATCTCCACATTATATGCTTTGAACTGGAATATATGGCAGTGTGGACCCAGGGCCCTTCCACACAGTCCTATATCCTGGAATATCAAGGCAGAATCCCACAATATCTGCTTTGAACTGGGTTATCTGAGTCCACACAGTCATATATTCTAGTTCGAAGCAGATAATGTGGGATTTTATTCAGCTGTGTGAAAGGGCACTCAGATAACACAGCAGATGTTGTGTGACTTTCTGCCTTGATTTTATGGGATATATGGCTGTGTGGAAGGGTTCTGAGAGTCTACTGTAATGGAGTGAATTTTGAAGGAGAGCACTGGTAGGTGGAAAGCAGTGCCAAATAGGCATAAACTTTGAAATAATGGAATATGTCAAAACTGACACTGATAAAACTGGAGACAAAATCAAAGAGATTTTCAGAATCACATCCACGTTTATATCCGTTAGGATCTGAGCAATGTCATGTTCCCCATCAATCCACAAATCCCACTGTTGTGTAAGGGCCCTTCCACACAGCCCTATATCCCAGAATATCAAGGCAGAAAATCCCACAATATCTGCTTTGAACTGGGTTATCTGAGTCCACACTGCCATATATTCCAGTTCAAAGCAGATAGTGTGGGATTTTATTCAGCTTTGTGAAAGGACACTCAGATAACCCAGTTCAAATTTCTGAGAAGCTCTTTGCTTTTGTCTCCAGTTTTATCAGTGTCAGTTTTGACATATTCCATTATTTCAAAGCTTTTGCCTATTTGTCACTGCTTTCCACCTACCACTGCTCTCCTTCAAAATTCACTCCATTACAGTAGACTCTCAGAGCCCTTCCACACAGCCATATAAACCAGAATATCAAAGCAGAAAGTCGCACAACATCTGCTTTCAGCTGTGTTATCTGAGTGTCCTTTCACACAGCTGAATAAAATCCCACATTATCTGCTTTGAACTGGAATATATGGCAGTGTAGACTCAAGATAACCCAGTCCAAGCAGATATTGTGAGATTTCTGCCTTGATACTCCAGGATATAGGACTGTGTGGAAGGGCCCTGGGTCCACACTGCCATATATTAATATGAAGTCACTATAGAGTTTATGATATAGAATTAGTTAGCTCTGGCTCCTTCCACACAGCTAAATAAAATCCCACATTTTCTGCTTTGAACTGGAATATATGGCAGTGTGGACTTGGATAACACAGGGCCATTCCAAACAGCCATACAATCCAGAATATCAAGGCAGAAAATGTGGGTTTTTATTCAGCAGTGAGGAAGGGGCCCCAGTTCAAAACAGATATTGTAGGATTTTCTGCCTTGATATGCTTGGTTAAATGTGCACTGTACCTTGTTTAATGTTTATGCTATTTGTGTATGAGATTTATTTTAATTGCTTTGTATTGTATTTGTCACTGCTTGTATTGCTTGTATTGTTGTATTGTGGGCTCGGCTTCATGTAAGCCGCACCGAGTCCCTTGAGGAGATGGTAGCAGGTATAAATAAAGATTATTATTATTATTATTATTATTATTATTATTATTATTATTATATGGCGGTGTGGAAGAGACCTCTGTTTTTAATAGCAACTTTCATGCTACTAGATTACATTTATGCAGCACCTACCAATATCTATGGGTATCAGGTAAATGAGAGTTTACTGCTTTTATTTTACTCAATTAATTTATATCCCACTTTTCTTCTAGAAACTCCTTATAGCTAAATAGGGATATCTGTGCAATTAGCCCCCCCCCCCCAGTTTGCTTTGCTCTGTTCCTTTTGAAAATACAATATGGTTTACGTTTTTAAAGCCCTATTGCAGTTATATGGCATAAACTGTTGCTGAGTCAGGTAGAGAATGGATGACTATCCTATGTAGGAAATTAAATCCTAGTTCAGAGGACAGAAGTTAAATCATAAGTTTATGACCACTTCTACACAGCTGTATAAAATCCAGATTATCTACTTTGAACTGGATTATCTGGCAGTGTAGAAGGGCCCTATGTTGTTGCTGTCCTTAATAAATGTTATTCTTTTTCAGGCTGGAGGAAGTACAGGTCTGTTGATGGATTTAGCGGCGAATGAGAAAGCAGTACATGCAGACTTCTTTAACAGTAGGTCTCCCTTTAAAAGTTGTAAATCAAGCATGTTTGTTTTTGCAGCTGCCCAGTAGTGTTTAAAGTGTATTTCCTTTCTTTAGTTTGAAAGAAGATTTGCTTGTTTACAAGGGCTAGAGCAGTTAGGCCTGCTTTAGCAATACAGAGGAAACATAGTTAATCTTTCATGTGTTGTTGAAGGCTTTCATGGCCAGAATCACTGGGTTGTTGCGAATTTTCCGGGCTGTGTGTCCATGTTCCAGAAGCATTCTCTTCTGATGTTTTGCCCACATCTATGGCAGGCATCCTCAGAGGTTGAGAGGTCTGTTGGAAGCTAGAGAAAGCGAGGCTTATATATTTGTGGAATGTCCAGGGTGTGAGAAAGAACTCCATAGATATAAGCCTCACTTGCCTAGTTTCCAACAGACCTCTCAACCTCTGAGGATGCCTGCCATAGATGTGGGTGAAATGTCAGGAGAGAATGCTTCTGAAACATGGCCATATAGCCCAGCAAACTAACAATAACCCAGTGAATCTTTATCTCTGTATCAGTGATTGTCAATAATGTTTCACTGTAATATTATTTTGATTACATTTTTGGATCCCACATTCCAAATGTTTTAAATTGTGAATACCACATATACACCATGTTACTTTTTTAAAAAAATTACTGGACTCGTATTGTTCAGAAATGCACATCAATGATATTTGAATTCCCTCAGTCAGAACATGACTAAAGGAATTTTATGGAAACATTTTTTTACAAATCACCTTTCCAGGGAACTACTCAGGTTTTTGGCAAGGGAAGACGCATAGCAGTCATTGAATACATTCATGTTTTTTCCGATGACTTGCAGAGGATCCAAGGAAGGTCTTGTGCAGCACTGAACTTTGAAATGCTTCTGTGTATCCCAAAACTCATGATAAGAGACTTGCCCCTTTTTTTTCCTAGTCAGATGAGATTGGTTCTCACTGTTAAAGAGATTCAGTTTGCTTTTGTCCAGCCCAGTAACAAATCTCTTCCATATCCATTGATCCCTATAGAGAATTGAGGGATTGATGTTTGCACAGATAATTGCTAGCTAAGGTATTTAATGCTAGTAGGCACATTTGTAGAAACTTTTCCTATTAAGCTTTGAAGAAATAAGCTTGGCATATATTAAGACTAATAAGGTTCAGTAGGACAAATGAACTAATGGTTAGTTTTCATCAGCTCCTACCCTTCTCATCAGAGAAATGGATGAAGGTGTTGAATGTGTAAAATAAGTTTTGATATACAAATATTCTTGCCACAGAGGGGCCTTTCCTCTCTCTTCTTAGTCTCTTGTTATCTTTAGTAAATAGATTCAAGTTGCATTCCTAACTGAGAAGCACAGTCTGTATACTTGCTTCACTCATCAGAATGTGCATTTACTTAACTCCAGATATAAAGAGTATATAATAATGGTGTGTATTCCATGTGATGTTAATGTATTGTTCTTCTTGCTAGATTTTGAAGATATGTTTGACGACGATGATATACAGTGAAAATGATCATCAGCAACGCAGTGAAACTACTTAAGGCTTTTTCGTAGAGGCTAATCAGAAACCAAAGGAAAGTGGGAATATTGTTTCCAAAACATGAAAGCGAACCATGAACTGGCTATCAGTGCATGGAGAAGAAAGGTGTGGACATGCTTCCTTTAGGAGATAGGTAGTTGTGCAGTTTTTGAGTCTTGCTTCAATAACATGTGAATAAATAAATATTTATTTTTCAAAGGTTTTAAAAATTACTTCTTTCATTAAAATGATTTGTAATGAAACATACATTCAGTAAAGAACCCCTTCCTCTCTCTTCTTGCCTTTTATTTTGTTCTGTAATCTCTGGTTCCAATGCTTGAAAATACGACTGTTCATTAACATCATTTGATTGAGGGCTACATATGTTAGTTAGTACTTTTTGAGTAGTCACCTTACTTGCTTCTGTTTCTCTGCACAAATTGATTTGAAGCAGGCCCGTAGCCAGGATTTTGATTCGGGGGGCGGGGGGCTGAGTCTGAGTGAAAGAGGGTCTACCCTAGTAAACCTTTTGTATTGTTACCCCAATACCCCCATGCATATGGGATATATTGAGTATGGAGATCAGATCATGATATGAATAAACATAACAGTTTAAATAATGCACCAGTAAGGCCTTCTCGCAGACTACCACACCGGGCTACATGCCTGATTTGAGGGCTTCTGATCATTAAATTGGAGGTTGTACTTGGAACAAATGGGTGGAATTAAGTTTATGATGTATGCAACAGATTAAATTGAAGGGAATGGTTGTGAAATATGGCTTTTAACAGACGCTAATAACTGTTAAGATACATAGCTTTCAATCAGATTTAATGTCGATGTTGCATGTAGTGGTTTGAGTGTTAGGTTGGGAGATGAGGGTTTGAAATTCTCTTTAGCCATGGAAAACCCACTTGTTGACCTTGGGCAAGTCACACATTCTCAGCCTTGGAAGAAGGCTCTAGAAAGCCTCTGAAGAAATCTTGCCAAGAATTGGGTCACCATAAGCTGGAAATTATGTGCAGGCATACAAAAACTACAGCATGACCCTTGTATTTTCTGGGGATATGTTTCAAAACACATATATGAGAAATCACAGATAATAGCGAATCCTATGTTTGTATTATATTTGGGCTGGAAGCATACTATAACACTAGAGAACCAAGAGAGGCCCACAGACTCATGGGAGGGAATATTGTTTAGAATTTGGGTAAGTGAGATTGTGAATATCAAGTTCACAAATAAGAAGTTTGTATTTTACATTTGTATATTTAGAATACATCTATCTAGTTTTGTTGCCCAAAGAAAAATGGTTTTAAAAAGGTTTATCACAAAGTGTTCCATTCTAAATCATAAATGGCAATTCTATGATGTTCATATGAAAGTAGGATTTTCTGCTATTTGCCTTGATCTCTTGTATGTAAAGTATAGGTAAAATTCCCAATGAAGTACTTTAAGGCAAGGAAAAAGGTGAATAGACCCATCTTGCAGCGCCCACAATTGTGGTGTTTTCCACACAGTAAGTTCCTTGCAGGTGTGGTGTTAGAACTAAATGTTCTGTACATTTTTGTGGGAAACAAATGTATGTATTGAATTATTAGAGTTGGAATGTATCTAGAGATGGGCACTGACTGGAAACCAATGTCTGCAAAGATGGAATTTGGGCACAACTATATCATATTTATTTATGTATTACCCACAACACAGTTAACTAATAAAATCACATATTAAAACATACTTAAAAGCAACCATAAAAGCATATATTTAAACATTAAAATGCCCAAGACAAAAGTTAACATAATAAACAATGCAATTTAAAAGTCATAGTTAAAACTGACCGAATAGACCTGCATGAAGAGATGGGTTCTCAGCTGTGTTTTAAATTCTGACAGTTCATTTAGCTCATCTGAAGTAGGATACTCCAGATCAGCCAGAAGGAGTGCATGGCCAGCTTTTGAGTCGCCGTGGTGACAGGACATCCACACAGTGTAGCACCAGGTCACTGGTAGCAGGAAGAAGTCCACGAAGCCCAACTTGGCACCACTGGATGGCTACCCTCATTGACAACCCTTCTGTTTCCTTCAAAGTAGATCATTCCCTCCTTTATCCCCTACCCTCTATGATTGATTTGGCATTTCAGCCAATGTCAGCAGTCACCACAAGCAACAATCACCATCAGTTTTGTGTTCTGGGGTCACTGCTTGGGTTTATGACAGTGAATGCTATGCCTTGTTCCCAACTGTTTAAATGTCTCCAAGCTCCAGAACTTTGGAGAAGCCCTGACTTGATGGGGACATCACAAAGTCAACTCCAGCCCCACTTTATTTGACCCATGTAGACAGTTCTTTAAGAACTAGGTGTGCTTAGCTTAGAGAAGAAAGGATTGAGAGGTAAAATGATAGCCACCTTCAAATATTTGCCATGTAAATGATGGAATACTATAATGCACATTGGCCAGTCTGAATCCTTTTTCAGTATATGTTTCAGAACAATATTATTTAAGAAAGAAAGTCATTTGTCTAGGTTTGAATTACTCCATTGAATGAAAAACCTCATCTAACTAGAACACACGTCTGGTTGTTGGGTAGCCTGCTGTTTCCCTGACTGCCAGTTTAGCCAGAGAACCCAGTAACTTTGGCCAATGAAAATATCTTCGTAGAATGGACAAGCTTTATTTTGAAGTATATTTGGCATCTTGCTCTTGCAACTTGGGTCCTTTATGACAAGAGTTTTCCAGAAAATACTGAATATCCTTTATTAAACATTAGAATATTTCCCCAAACCAGAGTATACATGAATATCTCAATTGTATTTCCTTAGCTTGTGAAGAAGTTGGCTATTTTCTTTGACAGAGTCAAAAGATACACATGACACATCAAAATGCAGGCTGCAGTATAATGCCTCTTTGTTATCTTACTTTTCTCAACCCTCTTTTTTCCCCTCTATTTGCACATATGAATCCCAGCAATGAGCATCGTGGGGTACAGAAAGCCAATACAGTGTAATGGTTTAAGCATTGGAGTACAACTTGAGACCTGGGTTTGAATTCTTGCTCATCTATGAAAAGCCACTGGGTGACTAGACGAATCCAATCTCAGCAGTAGAAAACCCTGTGATAGGTTCATCTTAGGGTCAACAAGTTGGAAACACTTGGAGAAAATGCTGCTGGAACATGGCCATACAGACTGAAAAACTCACAGCAACCCAGTGATTCCAGCTATGAAAGCTTTCGGCAATAAGTTGGAAACAACTTGAAGGCACACAACAACAATGTAAAAAATCAGAAAAGCCTTGATGAATCTAAAGGACATCAATAGGAGAGAAGGGAGATTGAGTTAAATTACCTTTGATTTCCTTTGTCTAATATAATCAGCTTCAGGTAATTAGAATGAGAATCCCATGAGCTATAATCTAATCTCTCTAATGAAAGACTACAAACTACTGAGCATTGTGTCTAACATAGCCTATCATTTTTACCCACTGGGAAATACTACGGTATAATTATGAGCACAGAGCTCTCACACCAACATTTCATAGATGTAAACGGGGACATATATAACTGCCACATCTAAATGTGGTCAAAATAACATGGCGAGACAACAAGAGGGCAAAGGTTATTGATAAAAAAACACAACATTACTATTTTAAGAAGAAAAGACCTGGAATGTGTGTTCTGAGTTCAAGAAGAAGACTTAACATCCCCAAGTTAATAGAGTTCAAACTACTGCTACGCTTTGAACTCAATTTGCAACAGTTGAAGTAAATGGGGGGTCAAAGTGGAAAGAGAAAGGAGAAGACAAACGGGCATTTAGAAGCAGCGTGAGCTCTTCCAGTTCCAACAAATATGACATAAGAGAGATTCATATATAATTCTTGCAGTCCATTTTAACAATAGAATGTGTCAATATCTCAAGCCTGATTCTGCTCCACATTCTATGTAGTTAGTGCAATGCCTTCCTCATTCAAGTTCAAGTGCTGGTTGCTTGCAAATATGTTCTACATTTTTATGGAAATATCAACCGTAGAAGTGATGAAGGGAGAACCAGTTGCATCACTGCATCCATATTTCTATTGCTAGTTTCAATTGCCTGCCCAGTAATAAATATCACTTAATTATCCTGGGCTGTTCACCAACTTGTAATAAAATGGGATAGCCCCTAAATATATCTGAGGACTCTTCCACACTGTCCCTATATGCCAGGATCTGATCCCAGATTATCTGTTGATCCCAGGTTATCTGACAGTAGGGAATCACATAATCTGGTTTAAAGCAGATAATCTGGGACCAGATACTAGGACATAGGGCAGTGTAGAAGGGGCCTGAATTCTAGGTTGCTGGGACTTGTATGTAATTAATAAATCACCTCTTTTCCTGTGTGGCCATGCATGAGAGAAAGATAAAGCTGAACGCTTATTGCTTGATAGGTGCCTGAAAACCATTCTCATGTTTTGAAAGGGCAAAAATTATAGATAAATAAATTAATCTTCATAGAAATGAGTTCTAAACTCTACTTAGAACCCAAGGTGCCTAAACTGAGTATTCATGAGAAGGCATAATTTGCTGGAAAATAAAATAATGCTTAGCAAGGAAAAAAGGATGACACAGTTAAGGTCTGAAGTTCGCAAGACCTGAGCAGAGTACTTCATGATCGTGACTTGGAGGACTCTCATACATAGGGTCATCATAAGTTGAAGCTGACTTGATGCAGTTAAGAGCAACAACACAGTTCTCACGTTTTGGTAGATTTAGGGGTTTCCTATCATAGAATCATAGAGTTGGAAGAGACCACATGGACCACCTAGTCCAAACTCTGTTTAAAAGCTTCCGGGAAGGGGCTCCCACCACTATTGAGTGGAATCCTTTTCTTCTTCTTCTTTCCATAACTGAGTTTTCTGTTTTCTTTAACACAAGCAAGCTAAAAATGATCTACAAAACATTATGGACATACGTAATGTTCTGCCTTGGGAAAGCAATACATTTGCTTTGAGTTTGTGTGTATGCCTTTAAAGGAACTGGTGGTTTCAAGAGCTATGAAAACTTGGATTTAATTGGATGGAATAATACAGTAGCAGACAAACAGTAATCTCGTAGCAGAGACTGAGGTAATAGCCAAAATGATCTACATTGGCTATAAAGGGTAATGGAACCAATCTATTTTTTCTTAAATATCTCTGGTGATTTTGAGTAATTGTGATATTTTTATCGTTCGAGATTTATGAAACTGTTGATGATGCTATGAATTTTACTATATTTATTTTATCTTTCATTCCTGATTTTTATGATGTATTTACAGT